CTTAATTAACCAAAAAAAAAATTATATCTTTATTAATAATAAATTAATTATTAAACAAAAATATTAAATATAAACTAAGTAAACGTGCATTGCACGTTGCTTGCACCTAGTGTATATATATATATATATATAAACCGTCACTAGGAACCAACTTACTCCATAAGTCATGGTAGATCATTTTTGACCCGTATACTAAATATATGATGATTATAACTTTCTTCAACAGTAATGTTGTTTCCAATGATGTGTTTTGGAAATTAAGGGAGAGAGAGAGTTCCCCCACCCAACCTGACCTAACCATGTTCAACCAATTTAAATGAGATGAATCTAGAATTTGTATTTGTTGAGGTTCTTTTAATATTGCATTAATCGAAATATATCCATTCCACGAAAATATGGTTGCATGCATTACCAGATGGTGTCCTAGTCTTAGTCCTAGCAACCCTCAAGTCGAAAGCACGAGGAATGCAAAAGTAATGTAATTTTGAAAGTAAGTGACCCATGGTGGGTTACAAACAGTGGTGGACCCAGCACAAAAGTTCAACCCGGACGAACGTAGACCATTGACCGTTGATAATCAGTGATCATAAGAGCGATGTAGTTTATTAATATTTAATTAAATAATATTTAAAATTATTCAATATTTATATAAACGCACTAAAACCTAAAAATTAGGTTTCGGTTGAAAAAAATTGTTCCATAATCTACAATTGCAAAATGTCCCAGTCTATTTTTCAATTGCAATTGATTAAAAAATCAGAGTACACATTGTTGAATCGTAATTCCCAAATCACAACTCATTGACTCATTCATGATAACTTAAAATTCATAATTCAAACAATAGTGCAATATAAATTATTTACCCCAACTCACAAATTAGTGAAATCACAATTCTCATTTCAAATTTTCCACTCCAATTCGCCAAATTAATTCATTATTCATACAACATAAATCATGATTTCATCCCTACGGATATCATAACTCATAAATAAAAAACAGGGAAAATTGCAGCTACGGTACCAAACATTTCACTTTTATGTAGATTTTGCCCAAACCTTTCATTTGTGCCACCAGAGATACCAAATCTTTAAAAAAATCGCAGCTCCAATCCAAATTGATAGAAATCGTTAGTTTGACTATTAGTTGACCAAAAATTAAAAGTCTGACTAATTGTTGACTATTTTTTAAAGGGCCAATGAGTAATTTTACATTTTTCATATATAAAAATTAAAATTAAAGAATTAAAAAAAAATCCCTCACCCACCCAAAAACCAGTTCAGCATTTGTTGACAAAATAAAAAATTAGAATCTTGTTGACTTCCACATCGTCGTCGGAAGTTTCACCGAAATCTCATCGTTCACTGCCACCTTCATTCCCATCATCCAACCAAGCCGGTGCTAGGCTTCGCGATCACATACCCATCAGAATCCACCTCCAACTGCCCGTCCAAAAACTTGGTTGCTGGCTCATGTCCAATCGCAAAAAACAACCCAGAAACGTTCAAATTGGTAACCTTCCCACTCAATCTTTGGGTTTGACAAAGCTCGGCTCTGTATAATCTTCAAAGCCCTAAATTCATCTCTTCGGTGGATAATGTAAACCTTAGAACCAGGGAAGTGGAGGCTTTTGGCTCGGCCCTAACACCGTCATTGACACCAGACAATCGCTTCACCGATAATTCTTCAAGAAATTTGTAATTATTGAACCGAGCATTCATGCCTTTGGCCTCGAAACTGCAAAATCCACATGAAAATTTGAGCGACAGGCACGAAGCTTCAACTCGGTGAGATTCCCACACTTCATAGAAATTAGAATCAAGGTAGCTATGTCAACGAGCCGAGCCGGAAAAAAAAAAGCTCGGGCTTTTTTGGACTGAGCTTTTTTCAGCCCGAGCTGAGTCGAGCCGGGCCCGGCCAAAAAAAAGAGGCTCGACCTGAGCTTTCGGCCCGAGCCTTAGCGG